TGTCAAATTCGCACAAAATTTTCCAGTACAGGAAGAGATTATTATTCAACTTTTTTTTACTAATTGTGGGATTCTTCCACAGCACAATGTATCAAAGAAGAAAGTTTCGTCCTGTATTTCTTTATAGCATACGGAATTCCTTTTATATAAACATACTCATGATTTAGCAAAACTGAGAGCCTATTTCCCCTAATATCTCTAACCGACAGGGCAGCTTTCCTATCAAAAGCCCTTCTTATTAATAAATCCACTCAGTTGATCAAAATAACCTGTCCAGATATATGCTAAAGTAACAAGTTTAATTTCGCCCTGAATTTTTTTGCAGGATTCGCAGAACTGTATATATGTATACTTGATCGAAATAAGCTAGAACAACTACGAGTGTTGATGGAGCCGAAAGTCAAACAAGTGTCTTTCATTTTGTAGGCACAACTGCGATTAATGTGAGAACACCTGCGGATAAGCATCAGCTAATCGAACTGCAGTTTGATAAGAGACCTCAGGTGGGGCAAGGGTTCCTTACAAACATCCGCGTAGTTTACTTTATAGTTACCTTGCAGTTTATCATTTAGTTTAGTTTAGGTATTCGTTTATCAGTTTGTAAGTTAGTTTTAGTATTTTTAATTAAGTTTTTAGTCTACCATTTATTTTTTTGCTTTAGTTGAGTTTTAATTAAGTTTACTTTAGCTTTAGTTTTATTAGATAATTATAAAGTTTTCAAGTTACCTTCTTCCTTCTTGATATGCCCCAGCCATTTAACCCCTATAAGCGCCGAACACATATTACACAAACCTGGTGTGTTTTTTGTACTGTGGCATTGCTAGTTAGAAGTGCTCAGCTCAGGTGGTTCCCAAACTTTACTTCATACTTCTTTGGAACGCCTTTATGAATTTTATCGCATATTGACTTCTATTGGATTTATTTTTATTGATTTTTATTACAGTCAATTACAATAGGAAAGCAAACCCTTAGAGAAGGTTCCCGCTCCAAACCATGCAGTATTGGAGAGTTCTGCTGGCAAGCATTAACTGGTAAGAAAAAATTTCATGTTTCATGTAAGGAGTCAGATATTTTTATCTTAAAGTAATTTTTCTTCAACTAAATCCACGAAGCACATATATTTATCATATTACCGATCTCGACCAACAAAGCAAGGAGCCCTTGGTGCCTTGGTAGAATATTGAACTCAATGACCAAGGGTCCCGGGGTTAAAATCTCGGGGGTTTCAACCCCTGAGATTGGGTATAACTGGCTGATGACGGCTTCCAAGCCAGAAATGGCCATTCAGGTCTCCCTTTTCTTTGTCGGATCCATTACATCGCATCAACAGCTTAAAGTATATTGAGATATCGCACGGAACCTCCGCCACTAAATCTCTCATATGTTTATTTTTCGGCCCCCAGATAAGGATTACGCAATGTTATTGGGAATTCGTGGTTCTGGACCCGGCACCATCGTTTTCACCCCAAGTAGCTCAGAGAAGAAGCCCACTGCCATCGTTGTGAACGAGAAGGGCAACGGCCAACCTGGTACGTGGGTACCTTCTGCATATAAAATCTTCCACCTTACTGACTACATTGTTGGCCACCATACGGTTTATTGTCATAAAGCTTGCATTTTCATTATTGATGAAAGGAACGTTTTCAGGCTAGATGTGATAAGTTAACTATTGCTTTCCTGGAACTTCATTGTAAGTAAAGAAGTTCCAGTATAATATCGTCGTGCTCTAGGACAAGTTAAAGATTCTACACTAGCGTCAGTAATACCTACTTAAAATGCCACTGTTTGTGCCATTGTATACATATTCGTTGATAGATGGCGGTAAAGCATTTTCTTAGACCAGGGGTTTATGTGACCAGCGTTCCCAACTCTCACAAGAGCTAATTGTAGAGGAATGAAAAAAATTACAGCTCTCTGCATATTTGAGTCAACTCTGCCGGGATTTACCTTGACCGTGGCATCTGCTTTTGATCGATTCTCGCAATGCGAGATAAGCACCAAGAAAACGGTTGTACCTATTACTTGAATCCGTGTTTGAGTGTCGTCCGACTGGCCTAGCAGTCGCATGCCTTCGAAGTCGAAGCCATGCCCTTGCGTGGGTGCGTGAGCGAGTTCGTGC